CGCTAGTCGGGCGCCAGAGGGCCGCCTAGCGCCTAGGCCGATTAATCGGCGACTAGTCGGCGACTAGTCGGCTACTACGGAACAAGGATTTTTCTGCCTACATTCAGTCATTCACCGATGTTTATCCATGTATGTAGTAAAAGAATATAAAAAACAGTTTCCATAATTCATGATTTCATGCCATAATTGATAAAACAATGGAAGCTTGCATGAAACAACTCAATAAGCAACAAAGCTAACAACTTAAATAATAGATCACCATCCCAAATAACATAAATGGTAAACAAAAGTTTAAAGTTTCAGTCAAATGAGTAAGGATCCAAAATGAAAACTGAAATTTAAAATAAGTTTGGAGGCAACACAATTTCTTCATAGTTTAATAGGAAGTACAAAATCAGCTGCAAAGGCTTCAAAGAAATGTCATGTCTTCTTCTCCAATGGACAGAAAATCAATGTCCAGATTTGTTTCTTCTAAATCGGATTCAAAGTCATCATCATATAGTTCTCCAAGTCTAGCACTCCTTCGTGGTTGTGGTACTTGAGGTATTTCATTTCCCAGAGATGCTTCTTCAATAGCATGGACAATATCTTCATCAATTTCACTCTCACTAGCCAACCACCCTTGTGCATTCCTAGCATCACTTGCTAGCAAATTAATATAGTCATCCATGTCCTTTCTTTTTTTGAGTAACTTTGCATTGAATTGGACATACACCAAACTGTTTAGACGATTGACATCTAACCTGTTCCTTTTCTTCGTATGAATCTAGCCATGTAAATAGAATACATTGTTAAACAAATGCTAAAATGAATAAAAGTAGGGATATTTTAAGCCAAAAAAAAAAATGAAAACTCCAAAGGTGAAGTCTACAAGTGCTGAAATAAACAAAAGTACTTAAGGAACTAACCCCTTCAAAAGTGCTCCAGTTTCGCTCACAACCGGATGAACTACTTGTCAAACAGAGAATCCGTATAGCTAATTTTTGCAAATTCGGCACATGATGTCCATAAGTTGTCCACCAATTTGCTAGGAAGAAAAGAAGATTCTTAAATATATAAAACAAGTACTGTGAGGCTTGGAGCAGAATCAACAGATTAATAGACTACTTGTTTATTTGAAACTACAATTGCTCAATTCTAGTAACATATCTTGCTCAATGTCCAGATTTACAGCTCAATTCTAGTAACATAACTAGTGATAAACTGATGTTACAGCAAGATAAATTGATAAAATAGTGATAAAAGTGATAAACTGAAAGATTATAACTAGTGTTAAAAGTGCATTTGAATAAAATATAACTGAAGCATTCCAGCAATGTCTTCACTTCTCTCATTCTAACTAGTGATAAACTGAAAATTCGAACTAGTTATATAAATTGTAAGTAGTGATAAAAGTGCATTCAAGTAAAATATAACTACCCAGTATTACACTATTACATGAAAAATGAATTAATGATAAACATTCATACCTGGATCAAATTTGTCATCATTTTGCTCACACCCTTTCATTGCTAATGCTCTCCCAAAATGCCCTCCTTTGTTCTTATAAACATGAATCTCATTATTGACAACTTTGTCTTGTTTGTCAAAATCTCCATGATAAAAAGTCTCAACACAGTTCAAGAACCCATCCATAACCAATTGATCCAACTGAATACTCGAATCCTTATAAAAATAGTAAGGATTCAAAAAATATGTAGTTAAATGCAATGCACTATCTAACCTATCTTTCACCTTTTCATCAATAATATCAAGAATAGGTTGATAGTTCCTCTCCAAATTATTACAAGCATCCTTGATAGAGTTCCTTGCATCCAAAAGCATCCCATATACAAAACCCATTGATGGTTTATCCCCATCAGCACATCGAAGAACTTTCACTAAAGGACCATAAATGCTTAAGCACAAAGTTACAGAACTCCAAAAGCTTGAACTCATCACAGTTTTTATGGCAAGTTTACCTCGGTCAGTTTTTGAGTGCTTGCATGCATCCCACTCATCACTACCAAACATTGCTTTCAGTTCAGACTTTTTTTCCAATAAGCTTTGCAAAGTTAAAAAACATGTAGCGAACCTTGTGATTCCCGGTCTAACAATATCTCTTTTCTTGGTAAAAGCCCTCATCATAGCTAAGGTCTTATGATGAGCATATATAAAGACGGTGAGAACCTTAGCTTGATCTATGGCTTTCTTGAATCTGGGCAGTTTTGAAATACCTTCAAGAATAAGATCAGTTGTGTGAGCTGCGCATCCTGACCAGAATATACTTGGCCTTTTTTCCCTCAAAAACTTTGCCGCTAAAACATTGTTGGTGGCATTATCAGTTACTACCTGAACAACATTTTCATGGCCAACTTGCTCAATGCATTTATCGACATACTGAAATATGAATTCACCAGTGTGAGATTCATTTGAAGCATCTTGGGATGAAATAAAACATGTACCTTCCTTAGAGTTGACACATAAATTCATTATGCTCCTTTTTTTTCGATCAGTCCATGCGTCAGTCATTACGGAACAACCACTTCGCGCCCATTCTTCTTCATGACTCTTTAGTAATTGTTTAGTTCTCTCAACTTCTTCTTTCAGTAATGTCTCCCTTAATTGATATTGAGTTGGAGGACTCCAACCAGGTCCAAACTGCCCTAGAGCCTCACAGAATAGCTTGAAACTGTCATTATCAATCGCGTTGAAAGGTATACCAGATTCATATACCCATCTTGAACAATATTGCTGCACAGAATGCGTTCTCTCCTTGAACAGTACATCACTGATGGTTTGTTGCTTTTTTGAAGAACCCAAAGAAGCTTCGGGATTGATAGTAGTTCCAAATCCCAACATATAGAAGTAAAGAAATATGGTTTATATTTCTTTGAAGACATTTGTCAAACACTTAACTTACACAAGTCCAACATTGATTTTCTTACATTTACTCCTAACTTTCTATCGACCATTCACAATTTCACAGTTCACACACATTCATATGTATAGACTTCCATGTTTGTACATATGTAAACAACAAACAATATTTCGAATTTGCTAGAAATTAAAGCTAAAAGTTTTGAAAAAACGAATAAAGAGTGAAGGGTTTACCTGTAAAAATTGTTGGTTGGTGCGTCTGGTGCTTGGTAGTGGAGATGTTGAAACTTGGAGGTCCTCAGTTGGCTGGTGCGGCTGGTGGTGCGGCTGGTGCTAGATAGCTACACAACAGAGACTTGGAGAAGATGCGAAGTTGGGAGAAACCGAGAAAGTGAGAAACGGGAGGGAGGGATTTGTCTGAGGCGAATGAAAATCTGAAACAAAAAGTGGGCTGTCAGTTGCGAAATTTTAAAACCTAAAACCTATTTTCCGATTTATTGAAATGGCCGACTAATCGCCAAGTCGCCCGACTAATCGGGCGAGACGCCCGAAAAGTCGGATGTCCGATTGTTTGCCCCGATTTCAGTAAAATCTCCACGCCACACTGCCGACTAGCGCCTAGGCGGCGCCTAGGCGGCCGCCTAGCCCGATTTTTAGAACATTATATATATATATATATATATATATATATATATATATATATATATATATATATATATGAGAGTAATGCGATTGAATATTGAAAAATGTGTGAGATATTTTTATTTATGTGTTTGTAACTTTGTATATACATGTATATAGTTATATACACATATGTACCATATATATATATATATTACGTGGTACGGAGTATATAATAGTAGTGCATATAATAGTGGGTGTGTGAGAGTGTGAGTGCATTTAAATTAGAGATTTTAAATTTAGTGTATGTCTCATAAAAAATCTTGATAAATAAAGATCATGGTGGAGCAAAAGTTGATAGATTTAGAGATTATTTGAGATTTTTTATGTGACAGTGACATGACAATAATAAACCATAAAAAATCACAAATTTGGAGGTGATGGAGATGCTCTTAGGCCTTCCATTAATCGATTTCGCAGATTTTCTGTCCGTTCATATCGCCTAATTGGTAACAGAGAGACATAATTATCCTCTCGATAATCTAAAAAGTTTAACACCTTCAGTCATCAGCAAACCGATAAATTTTTCTTCTCTTCTGATCTTCTACATAGTTCTGGTATAGAATTTGTTTCATGCTTTACTCCGATATTCAATTGAAACAATGATCTCTTCGGACTCATCTCTGCAATTCTCTTCTATTGATGTCTAATTCTTCTGAATCTGTCTTCATCTACCTCATACGAAATCTGTCTCCCAAGGGGCCTTTTGCAATTGCAAGCCACCGAGACACGTAGTTGATTTTGGGTCCTAGTCCTGACTTTGATGAATTTTGATTACAATTTGTTTTTTTTTACAATTCGTTAATAACCAAATTCAACGCTAATTACTAATTAATGCCTAGCTTCGAATAGCTGAATAAGTTGAGTTTTTTTCTCCAAATTCTTTTTTTTGAGTTATTTCATTATCAACAATCATCCATTTATCATCATGTTGTGTTTCTTGATACGTAGTAGCTATTACCTACAATCTTATACTTAAAAGTACTACACATGAGAGATTCTCCGGCTGGTGCTAAGGTCTAATCCGGAATTTCACTTATCCTACTTTCCACCTCTTTCTTCTCTTCGCCGGTAATGATTCTCCCGCCCATTTCCATGAATGAATCTCTTAGAGCATCTCCAACCCAAGGGTGCATTGGAGGTGATGTGTCATCCAAATGTAAAGGGCCCATTGAGGATGGAAGGGAAAACAAACAAATTGGAAGGGTCTATTTTTTTATCTACTCCAATGCGGATGAAATCACAAAGCAAAATAGAAAAGAATCATTGCTTTTTAAGTTGGTGAGGTGAGACTCAAGGTCTACAGATGGACCTTGTGCAAGACCTTGGCCTTCTCTCTCCTTTGCCAACTAAGCTTGACCTTTTCTATTTTTTGTTGCATTGGAGAGCACAATTAGTAAAGTGGAGTGCATTTGATGAGGTGGAGATGCAATTATCACCTTCTAAGCTTCTCACCGTTTGAAACCTCAAACCTCAGTATCACACCCTCGCCGTTTGTATTGTCTCACCAGAAATCTCTTCTGGCATTTTCTTAGATTTCTTCTCACCTTCTGATGGAAGATGAAATCACCCTCGCTTTGAGTCAGGCCTCTGTAACTCAGAGACCAATGCATCTTATCCATCGGCGATCCTTGCTGGAATTTAAGACCTCGAGAAGCTTCGTCTGCCTCTCTCTTAGCCGAAATCAGCCCCGTCTTTTGAAGCAGTCAAGACTCCGCACCTCAGTCCTTTGTAGCTCCCTCTCAAAGAGAATCCGGTCTTCTTCTCCGTGCTAAGTTTTCCATTCGAATTTGTATTATAACCTCAGCCCCAATTTACCTCTAAGATGGGTTAGATGGCCGAAATACCTTCAGCCCACCTTCTGCTACACCAGTTCTCCTGGATTAGCCACCTCCCAGATGTGATTTAAAGAGAAGTGGAATAAATTAAATGTGCTCCGAAACCATTAGGATAAGCTCATCCGCACCATTTTGATTACTTGTGAGTTGTGATTATCTTATTCGATATGCCAATGTATGTAACTTTTGCTTTGTTATACTTTCTTATATTTATTTGTATTACACAACGATGATGATGAGATTATATACTACATGAATAATGCCTAGGTGCTGATTTTATTTTTTTGGTTTGGACTGCATCTAATGGGCTCAATTTCAAGCTAATCTGACCTATTAAGGGTACATGATTTAAACCAAAATTTTCACTAGGTTTTAACCAATTGAGCATGATCCAGTTCTTAAATTTTTACTTTTTCAATTGAGCATGAATTTGATTTCACAATAACATGTTTTATATCAAAAATTTCCCTTGGAGCACCAATTTTCTAATGAAATTTCAAATCCAGTCATTGTTGATTCACGACTACATATATTGGGAAGAACGGTTAAAAATATGCTATTAGAGTTTACTTTAGTCTTTTTTTATTGTTTTATTGCCTAGGTGTTGCTTTTATAAGTGAAGAGAAGACTCATTGTTCATAAAATAGTTGATATCGGCTTCTATTAATGAGTAATGGTATACTATTTATGAGTATACTTATGTTTCAATAGTTGCTGATGTAAAGCTTTTATTGTTGTGTAGCTTGTGCAAGGATCTCAGGAAGAGCCCAAAAAAGATAGGTATTTGAGATTCTACATTAATAGAATGATTATGTGGCATTTTGAATTTTGTAGCAGATTGTCAGTGGAGTTACACATCTTTATTTTGAGATTTTCACATTAGTTTAATGCTTTAATGTGAGATGTATTTTAATGTTCTTTTAATGTGTTCTAGAATGTTTTCTGAATGAATGACCAATTGAGGTGCATTTTTTATGTTTTTTAATTACTGAGTTGGACACTATTACTGAGTAACCTTAAGTTGAATACTCAAAAGATGAAAAATGATTGTGCTTTTTAAATATAAGGTGTACATTCCTCTTTCTTATTGATAGGTATTTATTACTCAGGAAACGTTTTACTTAAAAGTGACATAATTTCTTTGTTTTTCACTAAAACTGAAAATTCTCTATTTACTTTTGCAAATTTCTTTTCATAATAAGTGAAGAGAAGGGCCATTGTTCATAAAACAATTCACAGTGGCCCTCTAATAAGATACATTACAAAATGTGGTATGTTTCTTCCATTGAGACCACTATTTTGTATCAGTTTAGGCCATACTAGAAAACAGTTCAATTGTATCTGTGGGCCATGAGAGCATGATCCGGTTCTTAAATGTATACTTACTTTTCAATTGAGCATGAATTTGATTTCACAATGACATAGTTTATACTAAAAATATCCCTTGGAGCACCACTTTTCTAATGAAATTTCAAATTTAATTAGGAAACTTCTTTTTTAAAAGTGACATAGTTTCTTTGTTTTTCAGATTTTCAGTAAAACTCTCTATTTACTTTTGCAATTTTCTTTTCAGAATAAGTGAAGAGAAGGGCCATTGTTCATAAAACAGTTCATATTGGCTTCTATTAATGAGTAATAACATACTGTTTATGGAAATAAAATTATGTTTCTATAGTTGTTAATGGTAAAGATTTTATTGTTGTGTAGCGTATGTAGGGATCTCAGGAAGAGCCCGAAAAAGATAAGTATATGAAAATCTACATTAATGGAATGATTAGGTGGCATTGTTTATTTTCTGGTTTTCATTGGAGTGAAGTTTTTACTTTCTCTTTTCAAATTTTAGGAAAACTCTATATTCACTTCTGCAATTTTCTTTTCATAGTAAGTCAAGAGAAGGGCCACTGTTCATAAAACAGCTAATAGTGGCCCTCTAATAAGATGTCATACAAAATATGGAATGTGTAAACCCTGGAAGAGGAATGAGAGTCCAGAAGATCTTAGAAAAATGATAGTTGACCTGACCTCTTTCTGATTCGAATGATATTTAGATCTAACGAGTCTCAATACTTTAAGTCACTTTGAATTGAGGGCTATTCTCTAGCGTGCTCAATTTTAAACTCCCTGTCACAAAATGGAATCACTAAAATGCACCTACAGAATTATGTGCTCAGAAAAAAAATCATTTCAAGCTTTCAGTATTGCTAACACAATTATAACATCATTGCACACAAAGGCGAAGTTTTAAGATCTAAATTCAGTTTGGACTGTTTTTTATAGTTAGGTCGCATTATTTCATATATCAAGCCATTTTACATGTTTATAATGAAAGTTATCTTTATACAACCAAAAAAATGGAAGTCATCTTTATTTTTTTATTCCTACCTGTAAAATAGTGAATATCATTTCGGTTTAAAATGCAGATATTTTTAGCTTGGAGTGGTAATTGTGAACGGGATGTTGAAAACAGATAAACCATTGGCAAATTATTTGCTTTGATATTGCCAGTGCTTTGATAAACCGACAGACCATTGCCAGTGCTTATTTTGACGTTTCTTTTGTTTTGTTGCCTTTGATATTCAGATTACTTCACCTGGATTGCTGTGAACTATTTAGGAAGCACAAGCTTTACTCTATGGTGTGCTATAAGTACATCCAAGTGGTATGCTTTAAAATTCTATGCAGTATCCATGTTATTATCATTAAACTCAAACAGTATATATCTTTGATCAACACTTGAATTTTCTGTAAGTTAGAAATGAAGAAAAGTATGATTTTTAAACTTGAATGAAATGCATTGTATTTATCTAAACTTAGCTTCTTTAGTTCAAATTATTATTGAACTCAAACAGTATATATATCTCTGCTTATATAATAAAAGCCAAACTTGGTTAGCATAGTCCTTTTTCCGTCCAATTCTAACACTTTACTTCGACGGGAGAATTACAAATTAACGGCGTTGATTACCAGCTTCTTCGGTTGCACCCGCCGACTCAAAAAAACTTTTACAGTTATCAAACCTTCATCAAACGCCGCCTACAGGCTACAGCCCGAGAAGATTTTTATATTTTCTTCCCAAGAGAGCACGTTGAATCTGTTTCTCCAATTCTTTGGTGCGAGTCAAAAGGTATTCTCATCACATCACTTCAGTTCTTCTAACGCATACCTCTCTTGATCTGCACTTATTACATTTTACTTAACTTCATTCCCTTTAAAATTTATCTACAACTCTAACAAATACAGAAGTCATTGCATATGCTTAGCGTTTTTAGTCACTTGCGGAAGTTTCAAACAGACTGAATTATCATTATATTCATTTAAGAAAAAATCTGCTTCTATCTTGTATTTACAGCTGTTGCTTAAAAAATACAGTTAGGCCGTTTGCATTTTACTGGTTACATTTTCCAAACCTTTAGATAACGCCTGCATGCTGTTCGACAAAAATCCTCTTACACAGTTAACAACTACATTGCAACAGAAATCAGTTATTGTAAACTTTTTATATAAATGGCTAAGTGACTATCTGCCCTTGTATAATGTCATCACAATTCTACGACAAACAAATGGGGAAAATCATCTACATTTTTTACTAAATTGATTATGACTACTATAGTTTCACCCACAACATTTCTAAAAAATTACTTATTTCTTGTTCAATGGTCAGTACTTAGTATATAGAAGGTTCTTGTGCCGGGTTGTTGTAAGAACAAAGAATATCAAAAGAACATTATACAAATACATTTGCTTACACATTGTTTAATATGAATATCACAACTAATTCGTAACTCACCATTTAGCACTCTTGATAAACTTAAACCAATATTAGTTGAATTTGTCAAAAAATGGCAGTACAAGTCAGTATACTGAAGTGGTATTAACTATTAACACTTACAAAAGTAAATTTAGTATTTTCTTATTCAGACAAATTAAGAACCAAGGAATCATCAGTTCTTGATCCTCATCTGCCTCGACCACATCTTCGCCGTCTTACACCACAACCCCTTTTGTCCTCCTCTCATGGTATGGTTGTTATATACTCCGTATAAATTTATATATACACGCATGTTCAATTTGGTTTTGTAATTATCAATTCGTTCAATTAATGCACAGTTGTTATTCGTAAGAGCTAGGATTTTATTCTTCTGGAGGCGACTCAATTCTCTGTGGACTATGATGGGCATCAACACACTGGTTTTAAACTACTAATATTTCTTACAATCTTCATGTTTATGGTGATTTCCCTTTTCAATTAATTAATGAATATACTTTTCTACACATAATAGATAAGTAAAGCTATCAAAAGTGTGGCAGTCTATTGTGGATGGGCTGCAGATATATCCTTTCAGTACAAAATTATACGGTGCATTAGTTCAAATCAGTCATCTTTACTGTTTGCCAAATAAGCTAAGGGTGATTTTCGACCAATACTTCAATAGGCATGTCCGTCTGCAGTATATGCTTTATGTGCAAATAATGGATTATTTCATAAATCATGTTTCTGTGCATCCAATGTTTCTTTTGGTTTTTGCCCAAATTTATAGATCTTTATAGATTATTACATTTTTAAAACAATCAATTTTTTCTTACACTTATAGGTCATTTGGAAGAATAGTAAATTTAACCTCATACCTTGAGAGCAATGTCTCCTTTTAATCTGCTAACTGGCTCTCTTTTTCTATGACATAGTTACTACTGCAATGTAGGAGAAATGGGTATAAGAATATTCAAACATTTTTAACTACAACACTGAAATCCCCAGTAATTTTTGGTCAATTTAATCTTTTCATTTATGATAACTTCTTTCTTAGACTACAACTAGCTATCATGTTCGTGAAATGCTATTTAATAAAAGATGTTCCTAATGTTGTAGTATTCACCTATTAATTTTGATATTGCTTATTAAAAATATGTTCCTGTTTTCACGAAACTTGTACAACCTACACACTGACCAAAATTTTTGCATTTTGTCTTTAAAGTGAGAAAAGAAAACACTTCCAGTGTGAAGGTGGTTTTTTTGTCTTTTGTGGGTGAAAAATATAGCCAATACGAAGGTGGTTCTTTTTTGTTTTCAGGGACATACAGTCACCAATATTCATAGACAAAGTCGCACGGCTTGTAAATAAGTTAAATCAATCGAATGAATCATTTAACCACAAAGAACCTTGTAGTACTTTAATGTCTTTTTGTTGTCTTCCTGGGATTAGATACATATTCTTTTGTTTAAGTCAAAAAGGTTATGTCTTGATGGTTTCCTCAAGCTAAATACTGTACTAACTGCAAAGGAGCTCTCAGATCTTCACGAAGTAAATACCATACTAAAAGTTATCCATTTATTTTAAGTACAGCTTAGGCAAATAAAAGTGATGTGAACATAATCATCTCTATAGTATTTGAGAATTAATCATTCAACTCTCTTTATTTGTTTGGATTCAAATTTATCATTCATCATTTTCATTTACCTCTGTAGGTTTTGGGAATTGATTTCATTCATTGAAGATGCCAATCGGCCAGAGTATTTATACAGATATACAAGAACTAATCAGCTAGTGTAGATCCTAAAAAATAGGATCTTGATAACTACAAGCTTATCTCTTAATAACAACTTCTATTCTAATCTATTCGGCTAAGTATGTACACCAAATTAAATCATGTAACATTTTCTACAATAATGTAACACTTTCTACACTCCCCCTCAAGTTGGTGAATATATATCATACATTCCCAACTTGTTTATAAGCAGTTCGAACACAGGTTTAAATAATCCTTTGGTGAAGATATCAGCTGTTTGATCTTTAGTAGATACAAATGGTGTGCAAACAATTCCAGCTTCTATCTTCTCCTTGATGAAATGTCTGTCCACTTCAATGTGCTTAGTTCGATCATGTAGCACAGGATTATGAGCAATGCTTATAGCTGCTTTATTATCACAGTACAACTTCATAGGCAGTTCCATCTCCATCTTCAGTTCTGTGATTACTCTCTTGATCCAGAGCAATTCACATATTCCATTTGCCATAGATCTGAATTCTGATTCTGCACTACTTCTAGCAACCACATTTTGTTTCTTACTTCTCCAAGTTACTAAATTGCCCCATACATAGGTACAATATCCAGAAGTAGACCTCCTATCAGATATTGAGCCAGCATAATCTGCATCAGTATAGGCCTCAATTGTCCTACTGTTTCCTTTTTTGAAGAACAATCCTTTCCCTGGGCAGCTCTTCAGGTACCTTAGAATCCTGTAAGTAGCATCAAGATGTTCCTGGAAAGGATTATGCATAAACTGGCTCACCATACTTACTGCAAATGCAATATCTGGCCTTGTATGTGCCAGATATATTAATCTTCCCACCAATCTTTGATATTGGTGAATGTCAACTGGAATTCCCTCCTTGATATCTCCCAACTTCTGACCTGGATCAATTGGAGTGTCTGCTGGTTTGCATGCACTCATCCCAGTTTCCTGCAGAAGATCTAAGATATATTTTCTTTGTGAGACAACAATACCCTTTCTTGATCTAGCTATCTCCATTCCCAGAAAGTATTTTAAATCTCCTAGGTCTTTGACTTCAAATTCCTGAGCAAGCTTTTCTTTTAAGTTCTTAGTCTCTGTATGATAATTTCCTGTGAGGATAATATCATCTACATAGACAATTAGTATTGCAATCTCCCCCTTGCCTGAAAACTTCATGAATAATGTATGATCAGCTTGAGCCTGATTAAACCCTTGCTTCTTTATAAATTTTGTGAACCTATCAAACCAGGCTCTTGGAGACTGTTTAAGCCCATACAGAGCTTTCTCTAATTTGCATACCTTTGAACCAAATTTGTTCTCAAATCCAGGAGGAGGTTTCATATACACTTCTTCTTCAAGTTTCCCATTTAAGAAAGCATTCTTTACATCCAATTGTTGCAGTGGCCAGTCTAAATTAGCAGCAAGAGATAATAGAATTCTTACAGTGTTCAACTTTGCAACTGGTGCAAAGGTTTCTGTATAGTCAATGCCATAGGTCTGTGTGTACCCCTTAGCAACTAACCTTGCCTTATATCTCTCCAGACTTCCATCTGCTTTAAACTTAGGAGTAAAAATCCACCTGCAACCAACTGTTGGTTTGTTTTTAGGCAACTCTACAAGCTTCCATGTCTGATTCTTTTCAAGAGCCTCCATCTCCTCCAAAACAGCTTTCTTCCACTCAGGTTTAGATAGAGCATCCTGTATGGTTGAAGGAATAGAGATAGAGGAAACACTGGAAGTAAATGTTGCAAAAACTGAGGACAATTTAGAATAAGAAACATGGTTTGAGATAGGGTATTTAACACATGTTCTTCTTTCTTTTCTAAGAGCAATTGGAAGATCAAGATGACTAGAAGTATTACCTTTTTCACTCCCTGTCATTGAGTCAGAATCATGCACAGAAGTAGGTTCAGGAACTTCCTCTATCCTTTGATTTGGAATTCTTCTCTCATAAACTTTGCCAAAGAATTTACTTGTCTGTTGATCTCCTTTTTCAATTGGTTCAGTTGTATTTATTTCATTATTTGTTAATTCTTGACTATTTTCATATGCACCTATATTTTTAAAGGAATGAACATCTAGATCAATGTCAAGAAAATTAAGGTTTTCATGGATATATGGCACTGTTTGATCATCTTTACTCAAATTCTCCCCCTGAAGATGATTATCAAAGAAAGGTTGATCTTCCACAAAAAAAGTGTCCATTGTAACAAACATTTTTTGTGTTTTAGGATCAAAACATTTATACCCTTTTTTAGTGGAAGAAATCCCTAGGAAAACACATTTTGTGCCTTTAGGATCAAACTTACTTGCAGATTTATCTGGGTTTTTAATAAACACTGTGCAACCAAATATTTTCAAGGGAAGAGTACCAATAAATCTGTTTGTAGGAAAACAGTTTTGTAGTGTGTTGATAGGACTTTTAAATCCCAGAATTTTTGATGGCATTCGATTAATCAAATAGGTAGCATGTAACACAGCCTCTCCCCACAAATATTTTGGTATTTTTGTTGAAAACATGATTGCACGAGTGACTTCAAGTAAATGTCTATTTTTTCTTTCTGCAATTCCATTCTGAGCTGGTGTATTGATACAAGAGCTTTGATGAATTATTCCTTTTTCAGCAAAAAAACTGTTTAGGGTTTGAGAAAAATATTCACGGCCATTATCACTTCTTACCATTTTAATATTGGTATTGAATTGAGTTTGGACCATTGCATAAAAATCCCTAAACACTTTTTCCACTTCAGATTTTTCTTTGATTAAAAATACCCATGTGACCCGTGTATGATCATCTATGATAGTTACAAACCATCTCTTTCCTTTTATAGTAGGTACTCTAGATGCACCCCAAATATCACTATGGACCAAAGTAAAAGGACTAGTAGGTTTATAACTGTGGGGAATATAAGAATTTTTATGATGTTTTGCAAGTGCACACATATCACAATGAAACAAAGACACATCTTTATTAATAAATAACTGAGGAAACACCTTTTTTAAATAATAAAAACTAGGATGTCCTAATCTGTAGTGAAGTAAATACAACTCTTTATTATTTGAAAAAGAAACAGTTTGCAGACAAGCATTTCTTTGACCTCTTTTATTT